CCTCGGCAACGTTCATGGGTCTTTCAGGCCTGGTTCCTGACTAGGCTCTGTATTTACCTACAGACCACATTATAAAAATAAAACTATAGTCAATAAACACCTTGTATTTGCCAATTATTTTGACATTTAACGACCCACGAAATTAATGTATAACACATTTTGACAATTTATAATATTCCCATATTATTATTTTGTAACATAGCCAATTGGCAAGCGAAAATAAAATAATAGGTTTACATAATATTCTTTTGTAATTATATTTAATATATGTTATATTAATATTTAATATAATAGGTATAGATTATAGGCCGACGCTGTATTATATTGTATTATGTTTATAAAAAATAAAGTATCAATGTGTTATGATGGGACATATCTATTATCTATATTCTACATACGATATACCATATTATACGATGTAGGTACCTGAACCTGACTAGTGACTACAGTATACCTAATGGCTAATACTGACTACTGTAACTACTAACTAAAAACTATGATACTGCAGTACAGACTACAGTAGTACAGCTATATTATAGTTTATAACTTATTAGTTATTAATGTCAATATACTAATATTCAGGGGCGGGTCTTCGATATTTTGATAGGAGAAGAGGGGCACTTATAAATTGTATAATTTTAATTTTAATTAATAATACATACATATTATCATTTTAAACAATAATTATTATAATAAATAATAATTAATAGTTGGTAGTATTGTTCTTATTAACTGCATTTTTCATTTAAATGACACTTGTAGTTACATAAAAAAAAATTGTCGATAGAAAATTAACAGGGGAGCACGTGACCCTCCCCTGAATCCACCACTGCTAATATTATATTATATTCATCTATAGGTAACTATATGTTTTTTAATTGTTATATAAGTTTTGCACTTATGAACAACTTTTGCTCCTCAAAAGAGCAGATGAGTTGTATTAGAGACTAGGAGTTAGTGAGTCACTAAAAGATTTGACTTGGACTTAATGAGAATATTAGGAAGTATACTTTTAACTTATACTATAGCGTGAGTGGTCAAATCAAAGAATATAACATTTTCTCTGATTAAAATACCTATCATATAAATATATAATATACAATATACTGCAGCGGGACGCCGAGACTTGATCATCACTGCAGCTGTCGCCATGTATAATGCCACTTACTGTATTTTTCATATATGGCTTTGAAAATTTGAAATGGTTCTGTCAATTATATAAATTACGATCGCACCGTACTGTCACCGAGTGAGTTTTATGGTGTTTACTGTTTATGATATACTTTTAATTAGGACTTAAGTCAAAAAAATAATAATATCGTTTATAGTAAAATCGTTATTTTAGGTATGCCCATTAACTGCACTCGTCTGTCGACGCTTCTTGGATTCTGTTATGTAATGAGTAATAATATAATGACACATAAACGACCAAGGCAAAAAAAAACCTTTCGTTAAGTCTTCATCATAAATAACGATCAAAATAGATTTCTTTTTATTCGTTCATTGATGATATTGCGTATAGTCTGCGAAATTATGGGCAATATAATAATAATCGTTTATGATAAACTGCAGTGACACTAAGCTTTAACTCTAACACTACCTACGTCCTACATAACATACAAGTTGTAACTATTATAATTTATAATTATTGTTTAGCCGTATATACGGGGGTCGCACTATCAGCTAGTACTTAGCAGTGCTACTGCAGTAATTGTATAACAATACGCTACGCGACATAACATATTAATTAAATAGCAATCATACGGTAATTATATCAATTGAAACTAAATTATCGATTGTTAAAAAATAATAACAATGTGCAGTGAGGGTTTAATCGTATATAGTAGTTGTGTCTTAGGCACACGCATCATAATAATATCAATTACTAATTACGCACTGGCACTGTACAGACATTTTTTTAATAATATTCTACGTACGTGCTGTATGAATAGTATAAACGTAAAGATACAACACTGAAATAACGATAAAATATTACACTGCAGATGATGGACACTATAGACTCTATAGTATAGAGTATATAGACGATAATAATAATTTATTATTATTATTGTTCCCGCGTCATCGTCGGAAAAGGAAGTGGAAAAAAACCATTCGTCACAAAATCCGTCGTCTGGTTTTATTTACCTTGGACGTGTTCGGTGTAGTCAAGCTCTCACGCAGTGAGTCAGAAAGTCAGTTTTATACATTTTTATAATATTATATAATATAAAAATAAAAATACTTCGTTGGCGCGTCATTGTCATTATAATCTAATAATGTGATCATATTATTTTATAACATTATTATTACCTACCTGTATAATATAATATTCGTTATGTACCTATTTGTGTGTGTTTATAGCAATAGCGATACGCAGCAACAGAAATTTGATTTGTATAATATTTTGACTTTTGAGAAGACTTGACGTTTTTATTTATGATAGATACTAAAATACCTATATGTCTATGTATGTTCACGTAAAGTCGAATCGACGATCATAATTCGTGTTCATATATATTAGTCAGCCTATAATTTATATAGAATATTATATAATTAAAAACGCGTAGGTGGCCGTAGGTCGACGTGCTGTCAAGTGTATATAGTATACACAACAATAGTATATTATAGTGAACACGCCTTTCGCGTGGAATATATATTAAGCATTTATGCTCTATAAAAAGTACAAAAAAAATAAAATTGTTTTTAAATCCATAATTACACGGATTAGGTATGTATTTACGGTTCGATCAAGGAAAGTGGTTTTATTTTTCACATCACGATCATGATATTATAGTCTATAGACTATAGAGATGATATTTTCCACACTCTTGGGTTATTGAGGTCTATAGTTACTTTAGTCGTTTCTAGTATTTGCCTGTGTAAATATAAGGGCTTATTAAAAGCGCATTTCCGAGTATTTTCCGACAACGCAGGGCAAGAAGACTTTATAAATTTCCGTTTTCGGGTTGGGTATACTGCGTATATGGTAGCCAGTAGGTTTATGTGCAGAATACTGCGTTGGCCACGAAATCGAAAGAATTATAATTAAACCTTGTGCCGGGATGATTTATTCAAATATTTGAATCTAAATTTGGTGGGTGTGAATGATTTTCATTTTTTTTTTTTTTAAACTATAGCAAAGTGCTTACATCGTGATCGGTATATATACAATTTGTTCCTATATTCAAATACAAATAATCAGGTTAATAAGTACCGGGGGTCCAATTTGTTTTAACATGTAAAAAGTATACAATCAGTGGTTTGCACCTTAAGAATTTTAAATTCTATCATTAAATGGTGGAAGGGGTCCAGACCCGAATACCTTTCTTTGGGTATACACCACTGGTAAGTATCTATCTATATAAATCTTAAAACCCGAAGACGTAATACACTAATACGTGTAGGTATATATTGTACTTCTGTTATATACTTAGGTATAAATTAATAGTTTATGATTATAAATACCTACGAATAATTATAAAAAAATTCGAACTTTCCTTATAGGCTATAACATATATTATGTTAATAAAATAATATTATGAATATAATATGATATTGTCATATTGAATATAATAATGTTCGATGGGTGAAAATGACGCACGCTGTCCTGAGGGAGGACCTGCACGGGCTGCAGGCTTTGATCCATTCATCCAAAACCGCGAGATGTATGTTATTGTTACAATATATTATATACCTAATATTATTAATATTGCGAAAATGTGCAATACTCTAGACGTATTATGTTTTATCTACAAGAAGAATATTATATAGGTATTTTTAATTTTTATGAAAGCACCTTTATGAAAAACAGAACTATAATAATATTATATGTATAGCTATGTAGTGTCCTAGGAGTGTAATACTGACTACTGAGTGGAGGTGTATATGCGGCCCAGAATTCAGATATTCTACATTGATTAACTATAATATAATAGTATCTATTGTATACTTGCATCTAGATAATTTTTTTCATGTATCTTGCTCATCTCCGCAGGTACCTACTACCTAATAAGTAATAAGTAATAACTAATAATTAAGTAATACTGTTCAGCATTTCGCAGCCATCCCAGCAAACACTTTGAACCGACTCAAATGTCCTACAATCCACAACACACTATATGGCACATGTTGGCCTGTTCACCGCTGGTATTTCTCTAAAAAAAGGCTTAATATTTCCATTGTTTGACGAAGCCGATTAAAAAAAATAAAAAAAAATATGGGTTATCTATTATATATTACTTTATGAAAGAAAAACATTTATTACTTGTCACGTTTATTATTGAATGATTTTCTGAATATTATATTATGTAGAAATAACATATTATAAATAATGCGATAACTATCGTCGATAATAATGATATTGTTTATCGATCATCTAAACCAAAAATCACCATAATTATTATTATTATTGGGTATAATGAATCACTTAATACTTCATCTGTTTTTTTTAAAAATTCTATCCCAGTGGTGGGCGCCAAGCGTACGGGCGCCAAGCGAAATAATATAATAAAATATATTATATATATATATTAACTCGGTCCGGACGGACGACATTTCGGCCGATTTGATGGGTCATCGGGGGGGAGACCGCGACTACCAAACCGAGTCACTGTCCTGGTGGGAGTGCGCGAGGAGGTGTGGCGACGAGTGGCTACGACAGCGCAGTGCTGCTGCTGGCGCTGCTCAACCGTCTGCCGAGCCGCGCACTGCCGCAGTAGAATTGCGTTTATTTTAAGAAGTCGACGTCGTTTCCTATAAATGGTTATTTCGCTGGTCCATTGACAGTGTTGTGTGCGCTCGTGTTGCTGTGCGCGCCCGCTTTTTTGCACCTTTGTGCGCCGCACCGCCCCTACCCTCCTCACCGACGCCCGCGCGACAGTCGCGTGTCTGTGCGTGTGTGTTGGCGCGCGCGCCCGATAGCTGATAGGTATCCTATATCATCGTCCCGTGCGGAGTAACGTCCGGGTTTTCAAATTTTTTTTGAATTTTCCGCCGCCAAAATGCCGGTGTTTCACACGAAAACCATCGAGAGCATATTGGAACCCGTCGCCCAACAGGTAATGACGAGATTTAAAATGTATTTAAAGTCGCGATACGAAAATATCGAGGAAAATATTGATATACCTACCTATGCCTTACCCATATTATCATCGATATTATAATGTCACGTCGAACGACGTGTGTAGGCAGACCATACGACGTGTAAGGTATGGACTTGTGTAGTAGAGATCGACTTTTAGGACGACCATCTGCTGCTGCCGCGGCCGTCGTTCTTATCCAATGCCAACAACACTCCTCGCATAATCGTCCTATTATAATATTTACTGTCGTGGAATATAATCGAATGTTATTGTGCTCGTGTGTGTGTGTGTTACACTTGTCACTTTCCTCGTCTGCGAGCTTGACCCAATTTTAATATAATATTATATTGTATAATAATGAAGAATGATTATGTTTATATATTATATTTTATAGGAGGTACCCCGAGAGGTACGTCTACTTCATTATTATTGCTATTATTTTTTTTTCCTTTTGATCTGATCTCAAGGATTTTTCGTGTATAATGTGTGATGGACTCGTGCCAATGCGGCTTCAATTAATGTTTCCATCATGTTCATCCCATCGTGTTTGTTTGAAATGTTTTACGCGATAATTGATTTACGAGCACAATGAATGTCTTGCTTGTATGCTCGGCGGCTGTTGCTGCTGCAATTCATTGTTGTAAACTCTTTGATGACTGGACGTAGGCCTTCTGAGTTTCCTAGTCTACCTGAGAGAATCTCCTAGACATCATTGATGAGAGACAAATTCTTTTTATTATTTCAGTAACTACATTTTTATAAAGAGACAACGTAAACAATTTAATGCGATAGGTCAGCAGCTGGTCAGATGATAGCTAATAAGTAATATTCAATAAAAACTTGGTGTACCTAGTTTAATGATTTTTATCATACAATATATTCTGCAGGATAGTACCTAATTATATATTAAACATATAATTTATAATATTTGATTGTAGGTACAAACAAAACTACCTATACAGTTTTATGTAGAGGAATTTTGTTTATCTTTATAATGTTGATAAAAATTACAAAACTGCAATTTAAAAATGTACAGTTAATGTTAATATCATTTTTTTTTTAAATTTACCTTTAAAAAAAAAATAGGAAGTATTTTGATAAGAGTATGAGTCATGTGACATTGAAGTCTCACCGATAAAATATGAGTACCTACCTACCTATAATTCATATACATAATACATTCACATTACTTAATTCATTATAATATGATAAAAGATAATGAAAAATGCTTTGAGTAGGTAGAAAGCATTTTTTTTTGAGATTTGAAATAATATTTGTCTGTTTACTTTAGTGATTCATATTAAATACCAAATGCATTACCAAGTACTAATGATAAAGTATAATTTCGTTTTTTATACCATTTATTTAAATTTTTAAATTTATAATTTGAATAAAAACCTCGAACCATAATAGGTACTTATAACTTAATAAGTTACCTTTAAGATTTATTATGAACTATTTTTTTTGGTTAATATCAGAATCTTTTTATTTAAACAACAAGTTAACAAATTATTCAATAATTTACTATTTTAGTGATTAGATTAACATATTATCAAATTTTTAGATTTTGACAGGAATGCTCTGTCATAAAATATTGTTAGTGCATATTATGATGAATATTTTAATAATCCTTTTAAATATATTATATAACCATGATGATATAATATATTGATAAGTATATAATAATGTGATAGATAAATATAGAATAATAGATACCTAATAATACAGTTCATAATAAATATTATTTTAACATACCATATTTTACAACTATCTATGTTGACAGTATTTAAGTACATAATAGGTAATAATAATAATAATAATAATAATATTTTTTAAATTGATTCACTACCTGCCATCTGTCATAATAGATAAACATTCATTACAACTTTAAGGGGGAGGTTAGCTGCATAATAAAACCTTAAGACCTAACTACCAAGTATATTAATAATTGAAACACAAAGTTAGCGATTATTGATATTATATTTGGAACCCCATTACATCTATACATTTATAAACAGTTGCATAGAATTTGTAGGTAGTAGGCACCTATATAATATATGGCTGTCTATTATATTTTGTTTGAAACTTTTTTCAAAGTTAAATTTATTTTGAGAAGTTATTACTTACATAATATGCATTTTAAAAATTTAAATATCTATCTAGGTACTTGATACTTAATAATTAATTTCCTTAATATTTATACTTACCTATGTTTATTGTATTTAACATTAAAATATTGATTTTTATCCTAAAAATCAAAATTTTAAATAGGTATACTTATAACTATTGGATGTTATTTTGGGAAAATTATTAATCTCACAATTAATTGATTATCTGTCATATTTTAATAATTTTTTGTGAGTTTAAAATTATATTTGGTTTAATCTATCCATGAATACAGTATAGGTACATGAATCCTACAAAAACATTTTTATAATTAATACATTTAAATAGGTAGTCTAATTACATTTGTCTATAACAAGATATTTATAGAAAATGTGATTTTTCTGGTAATATGTTTCTCAAAACACAGGATGTATTTCGAACTAATGTTTCTTGTATATATTTATATTTCTTTGACTAAAAGGACCCAAGAGAGGCGTATATAGAAATAATTTAGTTTACCCTTTAACTACTCTATTTTTATAACTGTTGTAGTCTTACAGTTGGGACAAAACATTACTATTTTTAGAGTAGAACATGATACATATGGATTCCAAATGACTTTTTAACACTCAATATTTTTAAATGAATAGTTACTTACTACCAACTAGTCTTATGGTATATTAATAGTTTACTACTTAAGAGGCACATTGTATTTCATTATATAATTTTATTAACATATAGGTATGTTGTAGACTGTAGTATAAAGTTGATTTAATTTAAATTTGTTATCTTATGTGTTTTCAAAATATTATTAATATGTTAAATTTATAGGTATCCCGGTTGGTAATTTTACACGAAGATGCCGAAGATGGAAGTGCTATGCCAGACTTGGAAAAGCCGGTTCAAGCTGTCAGTCGTGCAGTTATGAACCTTATCAAAGTGGGAAAAGAAACTATAAACAGTAGTGATGATCCAATACTCAAACAAGATCTTCCTTCAGCACTTTATCGTGTTGAAGGGGCATCCCGTTTACTTGAAGAAGCTTCAGCCATGTTAAAACAAGATCCATATAGTGGACCAGCCCGGAGAAAACTGATAGAAGGATCTAGAGGCATTTTGCAGGGAACATCATCCTTGTTGTTGTGTTTCGATGAATCTGAAGTCAGAAAAATCATTAGAGAGTGTAAAAAAGTTTTGGATTATTTAGCTGTTGCCGAAGTCATTGAAAGTATGGAAGACTTAGTGCAGTTTCTTAAAGATTTAAGTCCATGTCTAAGTAAAGTAAGTTGAGTCATTACATTTTTTTAACAGTTTTAGTCTAATTAAATTCTCCTTTTTTATTTCTAGGTATCCCGAGAAGTAGGAGCTCGTGAAAAAGAGCTTACTCATCAAGTTCACCGTGATATACTTATTCGATGTCTTGATCAAGTTAAGACATTAGCTCCAATACTTATATGCAGTATGAAGATTTATATTCATATTCTTTCAGAAGGTAAAATTGAAAAACATTTTTATTATTACCTACTTTATATTAACTTAAGATAAATTCCAGGAGGTAAGGGTGCTGCTGAAGCAGCTGAGAATAGAGATTATCTCACTAGCCGAATGACAGGAGAGTTATTAGAAATAATAAGAGTATTACAGCTGACAACTTATGATGAAGATGAATGGGAAGCTGATAACATAACTGTAATGCGAAAAGCTCTTAATGTAATTGAAGGTAAAGTCCATACTTCTCACGATTGGTTACAAGTAAGTTTTAAACAATATATTGTTGTAGCTAACATTTTAAATGTAATTATTTTCTAGGAACCATTGTCAATGCCTGGTGGTCTGGGTGAAAAGTCTATTCGTCATTTACTTGAACAATCTCATTTAATATCAGAACGCTGTTCACCTAAAGTCCGAGAGCCAATACAGAAATTGTGTTCGGAAATCAATACTATGACTGACGCTCTTTGCGAACTAAGACACGATGGAAAAGGTGCTACTGCTCAAGCAGAAAGCTTATCGCGTAGCATTGATGAAAGAATTGGGGAGTTAGTGAAACTAGTAACAAGAGCAGTTAATGACACAGATAAAAGTGGAGTTGCTGCTAAAGGACAGCAAGTGGCTCATACACTTGGCGGACAATTGGATCAAGCTAGACAATGGTTGTTACATCCAGAAAGAAATGATAATGGCTTGGGGCAAAGAGCCATTTTGTTGATAACTGATGAAGCACATAGGGTAAAATAGAGAAAAATTAATCATAGATTAAGTTTATGTCGCCTTATTAGTATTAATTATTCAATATTAATAAAATATGCTAGGTGGCTGATGGACTTCCCGGTGTTCAAAGAGCAGAAATATTAAATCTTTGTGATGAGGTTGATATGTTATCTCAACAATTAAGTGATTTATGTCGTCGGGGTGAAGGTAATTCCCCTCAAGCACAACAAATAGCCAGGTAATCATCAATAAATATTCTTCTTACCTTTATTGTATAATATATATTATATTAAGTATTTAATTGTAATGGTACGATTTGTAGAAAATTATCTCACAAGTTAGACGAGTTGAAAAAAATGATACAAGATGCAGTGGTCAGTCGTGTTGTAGAAGATTTTGTTGACATAAATACACCATTAAAACAATTTACAGATGCTGTGCATGTACCAAAAGGTTAGCATTTACAGTTATACTTGTCTTATTTATTATACAGAACATTTTATTTTTACTTAAAGGAACTCCTGGTAGAGAGGCGAACTTTGCTGATAGAGCAACTAGATTATCTGAATGGTCAAAACGTGCAGGCCGAACTGGACGACTAGTAGCTGCAACTGGTAGTGGTGGAAAAAAGTTGTCTGAAGCTCTAAATCAAGCTGCTACACAACTTGAATCTCTTGGACCTCAGTTGATAAATGGTGGACAAATCCGATCACAGTACTCTGATAATAAAGTAGCTGGAGAGCATTTTGACAATTTATGTTCTCAGTATGCTGATACAGCAACACACATAAGAAATCTTTGTGATGAGGCTACAGATTCAGCAACTTTTATTCGACTATCTGGTTAGTATAAAAGTGTAAAATTACTAATTAGTATGACATTTTTGATTCAGCTCTGTACTCATAGGCGCACATAGGGGGGTGCTTAGCACCCCCAAGCTTCAAACTAGCACCCTCAGTTTATTTCAGTATTTCACCAATCATTTATAAACTATCGTGGTTTATTGGTTCGGAATTTTTCTTTTTATTACAAATATTGACAACTGTTTACGAATTCACGATTAAAACAGTATTGTGTGAATGCATGTTTCAGTGTTTCAGTTTTTGTCAAAACATTAAATAGTATGTAGCATTTGTAGCAATCATATTATATCATATCATTATAGAAAATTATATTATCTTACTGGTTATTTATATTTCCATTTTCTATGCATGATAAAATTTTCTAAATATTTTGAGTTATTTTGAGGTTTTTATGGACATTTTTAGTTTCCATTTTTTTTAGTTTTTTTTTCTATAAGTATCAATAAAATTTTATTTGTTGGGTATAAAACCTTAAAAATGTAATAGAAGGCTCCTAATATATAGTTTTCAAATTTTATGAAATATAAAAACAAAGTTACACAGTAAATTTTCTCATTTTTATAGTGTGAACATTTAGTTTCTTAGCTTAGAGTACAGCCTGAATGTTTTTTATACCCGTGCAAAACAGTTTTACCTATGTTGTACCTACGTTTGTAATACGGAGACAACACATGTGGGTGTACCTAGCGTCTTCTGTACAATCATACAGACTATTTGATACATTGCACTTTAGATATTATTGTATACACTATACAAATTAAATCTAATGCAATTCAGAAATATTAGGATTTAGGGGGGTGTGGGGGATCTGTGAACCATAAATTATTCCAGCACCCCCTAAATTCACACCCAATGTGCGCCTATGTGACTGTACTAACATAATATAATTTACTTAATTTTTATTTATAGAGGACCAAATGCGTAAACATGCAAAACTATGCGAGGATGCTATTGCCAGGCACGACCCTAATAAAATGGTAGAACATACGACAGCTATTGCTCGTTTAGGAAACAGAGTATATCAAGTTGCCAAGCAGGAGGCTGACAATTCTGAAGACCCTGTGTTCCACGCAACATTAAATAGAGCAGCAGATATCTTACAAGCTGCTGTGGCAAGAATGGTTCAAGATGCTAAGCCAGTAGCATTAAATACCAATAATGATCAAGCTGTTAAACGTTGGAGAGAATCTAATAATGTGTTGTTGGATGCGGTCCGCGGTGTGCGCGGAGCTATCACTGTTGTACCAGACCTGTATGAGTTGTCTATCGAGCCCGAAATAGCTCCTCCTCGTCCACCATTGCCAGGTGAACAGGCACCTCCACCAAGACCTCCATTACCAGCTGAAACTGATGATGAAGATGAAATGTTCAAACATGCCCCATTACCTAATCAACCTATTATGGCTGCGGCTCATGGACTTCATCAAGAAGTGAGACAGTGGTCTAGTAAAGATAACAAGATCATTGCTGCCGCAAAGAAAATGGCACTTTTAATGGGCAGGTTATCCCAATTGGTTCGTGGACAGACAGGTACCAAACGTGATCTTATTGCTTGTGCTAAAGCAATTGCTGAAGCTTCCGAGGAAGTGACACGATTAGCCAAGGAATTGGCTAGGGAGTGTACTGATAAGAGAATGAGAACTGTAAGTATTTTAAAAATAATAGCTTATTAATTACCTTATAAGTTACTATTATAATTTATTTAATTTTTAGAACTTGCTGCAAGTGTGTGAACGTATACCAACCATTGGTACTCAACTAAAAATCTTATCGACAGTCAAAGCAACTATGTTGGGAGCCCATGGCTCAGAAGAAGATCAAGAAGCTACAGACATGTTAGTGGGTAATGCACAGAACCTGATGCAGTCTGTTAAAGAAACCGTTCGAGCAGCCGAAGCAGCTTCAATTAAAATAAGAACTGACACTGGTATACGGTTATGTTGGGTCAGACGTCAACCATGGTATCACTACTAATAACTTCCATGCACCTTCAATACCATGGCCATAAACAGGTGTTCAATATTATCTAAGTATTTATAAGCTATAACAAAGTAATTGGTATAATGTATAAATCACTTTGGGCACCATGTATGATAGGTTGTAGTCTTTGGCTCATTAGCAGTACTATAATTCATTTACACAAAAAATAAAGTCTTTGAATATTCGGTTTAGAAGTGAATAAAAAAAAAAAAAAAACAAAATTGGAAAAATGTTTATGTTCTACGTTTCGGCAACTAAATCATTCCAACGGGTCGACATGTGCCTTATATTTATATTCATTAGTGGTGCTTAGAGTTGTATTTAATTTTAAACATATTTATTTTGTTTAAGAGTATTAAATCAAATTGACATAATAATCGAGCTTTAACTTTTATTTTTGAGTTACCTATATTATATATATAGATGCTTCAATCATCAATTGAGACAATTTCACAACGAATTAATAAATTATGTATCTTATTAATTATATAATATGTCGTTATATTAAATGCCTCTAGATAATTTTATATAGGGTAATTTAATGAGGCTTTTTAATATTTTTGTTATTCTGCATTGATAATGTGCATAAATATAAATCAAAGATTGTTAGAAAAATGTATTACCTACATACAAACATATTTTTATAGAATATTTATGTTGTTATTTGTTTTTATTATAAATCGATGTGTGTAATCGCGAAAAATGTTCTTCTAGACGTTTTGTTATAAAGGTATTTAGTGCTTCCATTTTATTATATCTGATTTTTACTTTAAAATATTTGTAACGAAACAATTTTATTAAGTTGTTATTTTAGTTTACAAAAACTACCGAGCCACTTACATATTAAGATTTGTATCTATAATAATTGTTAATAACGCCGTACTATGTTCTAATTGTATTATTTTTATACTTTTAAGCTATAATATTTAATAATATATTAAATATTTAAATGTTATGATATTTTTATTGCATTCTTTTAAATGTATAAATGCACATTATTATTTAAATGGTATTATGAAATAATAACATTTGCAATCATAATATAAGACTTAAGAACATTCGTTTAAGACAGTAAAAAATATTAATGCTGAACAAAACCTGTGTGGCTCGGAATGTAAATTTTTAGTGCCATTTCATTGCCGTCACAATTGTGTTTTCCATGCATTATTTTTTGTATTTTTCACCATTTTAAGTTAATTGACTGTTATGCTGCTTGTAATAATATTTTTATTTTTTTAAATTATCACTTTTTTAAAATAGTGAATGTTTGTCAGTAAATATTTTATCATATTGTTGTGTACAATACGAGTTGTGTTTTGGACACGATGTAAGATAGTACTATCTTAAATCGTGGTTTTGAATACAATGTATTGCTTAAATCTGGCTACAGAATCGCTATCATATAAAATTCTCTAATGTTATCTATTTTTTTTCTTGTATACTCTTATCAAATATTAGTTTTTTGTTTATCATTAACTGTAATTTAATATTGTATTTATTTGTATTTAACTTCTTTCTTTATTATTTTATTTTTATTTATTTTATATACAACATTGTCTTTCATTAAAAAATGACTAACATCAATAAAAAAATATTTGGCCATGACCCGGTTCTTTAACCGGGCCAGCGCTATTACTTAAAAAGAATCAATTTTAACTTGCCGTTAATAAACAATGTTGTGTTCAGTTCCTAACTTACTAGTTTTTCAACGAGTTAACTAAAATTATTGTACTTGCATATTTACCCTATTTTTTTTGGTATATTTTATTTTACTCATAAGCGACTCATACACAAAATATTGTATTAATATAGTTGGTGCTAATAAATTATTTCCATTATTCAGGATATGTTTGTACTTGTAAAACTCTATTTACCCGGTTAACCTGTATATTTTGCTAATTTGTTTATATTTTCAATCACTGAGTCATTGTAACAAAAAATTATATTTTGTAAAAGACTGATCAAATCACTGTTATGTTTAAATCAGTGTAATTCAAATTTTAGTATTATGTAAAATGGACAGTTCAACAAATTTAATTCATCATACAAAAGTGTTTTAGGAATAACATCGTCTTGGTAAAATAAAATAGTAAGTGCAAAATGATTTATACAAAATATTTTTTATTTTTTATAAGCAACTACAGGTTTAGAAATAATAAAATACAATACAAGATAAATCATATAATTAGTCTTATTTACCATTTAAAATACCATACAATTGCCCCCTGATGCTTGGTGGGATAGTGTGCTATATTCTAGTAGGTACTATCTATATAGATATCTGTGGTATTATAGGAATCTTTAATCTGATTTAGATAAATGTGAAAATATTAATTGGTAAGATAGAAAATATAAATTTGCAGTTTGCACAAGAAAAAAAATTTAAATCACATTTTTGTTTTTCGCTATTTTGGGGAGGTAGGATAAACATGAAGTAGTTCAGCCTCCAAAACGAAAAAATTGGAATAGCCCCCATGTAGCCTAACTCGGCATGATTAAAAGAAAACGACAAAACACCGGAAGTGGGCATTGAGTAGTGAGTCTTAAAATATGAGAATTTCTTCTTTATCTCATCCGGATAAATATAATTTAAAGACAAAGTAAAAAACCCATCTAGATCAATAAAGTTTTTCTTTAATTATCTCTGGTACCTACTTATATTGATTAATTTATTATTCCTCTTTATGTTAAGCAGGGGCGTGTTCAGGAATGTTCAATGTGTCATCTACACAACAGCGAATAATTATTATTATTGTCATATATATAATATGAACATACATCAATACATGTATGCATTCATATCCTACAATTTAAGGGTGATTTAATAAATGGTAATTCAGTACCTATCTGTTATCGGATCTCGGTGATAAAACCGTCACCTGGGAACATGTCAGTTTGAAATACAGTTCAATAAGAGGTATTAAGGAATTTTGTAAATCCAAAATGTGGTTCAAAATTGTAGTACCAAAATCGAAATTTTATATTAAATTAAAATATAATAAAACCACTTTTCCGCTTTGCTGTACATTAGGTATCACGTGGGATTAGGTCACTGCAATAGTGCAATGGGATGTGTTGAATTTTAATTTAATGATATAAAATAATTTATTGTATACCTATACGAACAATTATTCTGATCAAAGACGGTCTGTCAGCCTATATTACTAACGCTAAGTGTATTTTATGATAGTTTTAATTCATTTTACTATTAGTAATAGTCAATAGATACAGTAGGCTGAATACATTTTTGACGAATTATGTCAAAATTCTAATTTCAGAGGATCATAAAAAATTATTGTGAACATACCCTCAATTATTTTTTTAATTACACTAATAACAACTTATGAGGAAACTTGAATTCAATTTCAAAGTTTTTTGATCAAGAAAAAAATTATTTATTAACAATAATTAAAAAATCAAATATTTCTGATGTAAGTACCTATGTCCTATATACTATATAGGTCAAAACTAGTCAGAATTGTATTATTTATGGAAAATTGTCATATAAACCTAAACATTTTGTGAACATTTGAAGTATCTAAAAAACTAAATCTTTTTTTTCAAAAACAGGTTTTGATTCCAGTCTTTTATTTTTTTTTTGTTTTCCGACATTTTTGAAAATGACTGGTAATTTTCTAAAATTGCTAACAATATGCGGACGAAAAAGGGGGAGCTAGATGAAAATATTTTCGATTATCAATCACTTCTAAATGCAGTAGCGTATTTTGGGTGATTTATCGGAGGGTGTCCAACATTTATTGAACCTCGCAAACAAAATTTTTAGAGTTATTAACTTTACTAATATTTTATTTATATTGAGTTCAGAGTTGTAATATAAATTATATTGAATCGGTATTGAATATCAATATTTTTTCCCAATATTTTATTTTATTGCCCTATAATGGCGTTCGTCCCCATTGTGTTAATAATTATTTAATTTATTTGAATACGTTATTCACTTGTTAACACTTATCAGTGTTTCCCTCCCACTACTCTGTTGTGACCTTATGAACATAATTTTGTAGTTTAGTCAGTTACGTCGTTTCGTGTTAAACGCCGAACCGCTCGGAACTCAATGTCCAGTGTGTATAATGTGATAAGCAGGGCTCGGAAGTTGTAGCACTAAAAATTTTACTTTTTAGCTCTTAAATGTGCACTTTAAAACTCCAAAATATGCGCTATAAATAGCACAAAAAATCAAAAAATATGCATTTAACTTGAAAATATTAAAATTTATTAGAAAAAAATGAATAGTCATTTTACAATTTTATAAAACTGTCGGGCTCATAGACGCCATTGACTGTCTGGACTAGTTGAATTATAAACTGTTAACAAATATATGAAATTACTTAAATATGTTTGTAAAAGTGTACTTATAACTTATAAGGTCTATTTATTTCCTAACCGAATTAATCATTATTTTCAACATAATGTGATAATTTTCTATATCTTGTAAAATATGTAGGTATAGGTACATACTACATATATTATGTATATTATAAAAATTTACCCAAAAATAGCGCTATAAACCCTAAATCAGCAAAATAGCAATAAAAACCGTAAATATGCAAAAAATGGCAAAATAAAATTTCTTGTATTACATCAGAGAAGTGTGATACATATTTGCATCTTACTTTGGATGTTTTAGGACGAACCCAGAAAAATATGCATTTGCTAGAGCTTCTGAGCCCTGGTGATAAGTTAAAGTAATAAAGTATAAGTTCTTTCTGTGCCTATTAAGTAATTGTTGTTAATACACTTATCACCTGGTACAGTGGTGGACGGTGGTACGACTATAGACCAAAAAATGAATGACAAATTGACATATAATACCATAGTAGTAATAAAGTACCTATAATAATTAATAGTTTAGTCATTGATTTATTATCAATGGTATCATTAATAAAGAAATGTATAATTATCTAAACTCATAAATTGTAAACTAAATTAAAATATACAAAATACGTTCACAATATTTTCGTTGTTATTGTATT